ACTATTATCTGTGGGGGCAGAGTTGCCCTCCCGACTGTTAGCTATGGGGGCAGTGTTGTCCCTCAACTGTTACCTGTGGGGGCAGTGTTGCCCTCCTGACTGTTACCTGTGGGGTACTGTTGTCCCCCAACTGTTACTTTTGGGGCCAGTGTTGTCCTCCTGACTGTTACCTGTGGGGGCACTGTTATCCCCCAACTGTTACCTGTGGGGGCAGTGTTATCCCCCAACTGTTACCGGTGGGAACAGTGTTGTCCCCTGACTATTACCTTTGGGGGCAGAGTTGCCCTCCTGACTGTTACCTGTAGGGGCAGTGTTGTCCCCCGACTGTTACTTGTGGGGACAGTGTTGTCCTCCTGACTGTTACCTGTGGGCGCAGTGTTTTATGGCAGACCCCCAGCACTTGCTCTCATTATGTAGCAGAAACCTCTTACCCATTGCAGGGTAACTCCCCACTACCCCTCCCCAGCCCCTCCTGGCTACATTTGTGCTCAGCTTCTATGAGCTCCCCTATCTCAGAGGCTTTCATCTAAGTAGAACAATGCAGCACTCTGGGCAGCTTTTTTCAGTTAGCATAGTGTCTTCAAGGTGCCTTCCTGGTCTTCTTTCTTTTTTTGTTTTTTGAGACAGAGTCTCACTATGTCACCCTGGGTAGAGTGCTGTGGCCTCACTCTCCCAGCAACCTCAAAGTTTTGGGTTGAAGCGATTCTCTTGCCTTAGCCTCCCAAGTAGCTGGGACTACAGGTGCTACCCAGAATGCCTATTATGAACCCTAAAGCTGACTTGGTATCTTGTCTAGTCACAGACACTGAAGCTGACTCAGCATGTTGTCTCATCATGGACACTGACACCCACTCAGCATCTTGTCTCATCGTGGACACTAACGGTGACTCAGCATCTTGTCTAGTCATGGACACTGACAGTGACTCAGCATCTTGTCTCATCATGGACACTGACAGTGACTCAGCATCTTGTCTCGTCATGGACACTGATGCTGACTCAGTATCTTGTCTAGTCATGGACACTGACAGTGACTCAGGATCTGTCTCATCATGGACACTGATGCTGACTCAGCATCTTGTCTTATGGACACTGATGCTGACTCAGCATCTTATCTAGGCATGGATACTGACACTGACTCCGCATCTTGTCTACTCATGGACACAGACACTGACTCAGCATCTTATCTAGGCATGGACACTGACCCTGACTCAGCTTCTTGTCTCACCATGGACATTGACACTGACTCAGTATCTTGTCTAGTCATGGACACTGATGCTGACTCAGCATCTTGGCTGCTGTGCATGGTGCTTCAGTGAACATAGGAGCTCAGGCATTTCTTTCTTCCTTTTTTTTTGATCTTGATTTCAATTTCTTCTAATTTTAATTTTATCATTACATAAAAATGGCCATGTTATGACAAATTTTATTTAGAGGGTTTTCTCACTAGACTCTAAGATTTTTGAGCATAAATACAAATTGATAGTCATCCTATTGATGCTGGCATGATGGTTTGGGTGATTAGTTAATTTTAATTGCTTAAATGTTTTTAGTCTGTGGTCATGAGGTATCAGTTCTCATAAGCCCTATTTTCCTCATTTGCAATGAGAACACAGAGGTGGTCCTTGGGGTTGATGCGAGGGAAGTGTAGATGGGAAAGTTCTCCCCTAGTCACTCTGTTTGGAGATTGACAGAGGCATTATCATTGATAACTCCTACCCCTGCACTGACTCTCCTTAGATACATATTAAACTTGTTTTCAAGGCAATATCTTGACTTCTTTGATGGTGATACAAACGACTTCTCTCTGTGTTTCTCCTTTAGCTGTTCCTCGAACAAGCGACACCCAGTGCAGCTCTGTGCCTGAGCCCAGATATGGAAGGAGAATTGGTTCTGAGTTTTCTGCAGGTTCCATTGTCCGATTTGAGTGCAACCCAGGCTACCTCCTGCAGGGTTCCACGGCACTCCTCTGTCAGTCAGTACCTAATGCTCTGGCACAGTGGAATGACACAATCCCCAGCTGCGTGGGTAAGGAGCATCCATGGGCATGATACCTTGTTCAGATATGGGGACCACAAGTTCTCAACACTGCCCATGAGCTGCCCTCTGTTCAGTCCACATAAGCCCATCATGCTCATGGCCGCTATAGAGCACATTTTATTTTACTATAAATAATCCAGTAGTAGCCAAACCCTAAAAATTACTCTGTTCCATAAAACAACTCATCAGATTAACCAGGAAAAAGCATGTTTTCCTTCTCAATGCTCATTAAGTATGCTATCAATTCTAAAGTCTTGGATATAAAACATACTTTCATTTTAGGGAAAAATCATTGTAATTTAGATTTGCAATATCACTTATGCAATGTCCTTTTAATAAATCAGTGCTGGTGAGTGTTTGAGAAGTAATAGGTTGATGCCCCTGAATAACAATGACATTGTTAGTTATAGTTTATTTGCTTCATTTGTGTAGAAAACTCTAGTGCCATCATGATTAGCACTTGAATTCATTTGTACATTTTCACTGCCTTTTCTCTTCTCTGGACTTGCTCATAAATCCCATTAACACCACTTGGAGTTGTGTGTCTGCCTAGAGAAGAGAATATTCTGCCAAGGTCATTAAATTACAGTGGACAAATTATTCTAAACACAGTTCACATCCAAAATTCCATTTTGGGTACAGTCCCTTCTTAGAGAATTGGGAAAGATTTATTTATGCATCCAAGGTCTTCAACTTAATACCATAATAGATAATAATCAATGATAGCATTAATTTTAAAGAGAACAGACTAAATTTTATCTCTGCTAAAAATGTCACTTAAGTATTGTAGTCCATGTAGAGTTTGTCTCACTATCTGATCACACAGCCAAGGAAAAGTTAATGCCAAAATGTTGTGTTGTTGGACTTCCCTTTTACTAAATACAGTTGTGTCTTCCAGTCCCCTGCAGTGGCAATTTCACTCAGCGGAGAGGTACAATTCTGTCCCCTGGCTACCCTGAGCCATATGGTAACAACTTAAATTGCATATGGAAGATCACAGTGACAGAAGGGTCGGGAATCCAGGTAAGTCCTTGAAGTCCAGAGTCTACACACAGGGTTTAGCTGGGGTCCCCGGGCTTCTCTCTCTGTCTGTCTCTTCTCTCTCTTCCTCCCTCCCTTCCTTCCTTATTCCTCTCCTCCCCTACCCTCACCCTTCCCTCTCCACCCCTCCCTTCCTCTCCTCTTCTTTCCTTTTTCATTTTGTATTGGTTATTTTAAACACATCAGTCATAATCTGTTTCCCTAGTCTTAATTTTTCTACAAAATGCCTCTAATCATGTTTCTATATTTGTAATAAAAATTATCAATTGTTATAGTATAAAAACTATCACAAGTGTCATTTTTATAAATTGTGGAATGTTCTTTTATGGTTTATTTTCTCTGATTTTGCCACATATATGTATAAGTGTATATGTGTGTGTGCCTACATATGTAAAATGTGTATATACATATGTATATATGATATAGACACATATATGTATGTATACATGCACACACACCAAGCCTCATCTGATTAGACTAATGCTGTTAAGCCAGAAATAAATATTAATGCAGTGCTATGGTTTGGTAGATCCAAGTAATAAGCTTTGCCACAGAGCAGAACTGGGACTCCCTGGAGATCCATGATGGTGGAGACGCAGCAGCACCCAGGCTGGGAAGCTTCTCAGGTAAGATATTTGTGAACCAGAATGTGTAAATGCTTAGAAAACAAAACAAGCAGCATTTGGCATGGGCATTTCTTTCTTTCTTTCTTTTTTAAAGTGCTCAATAGATTTTTTTTCACTTTTTTTTTTTTTTTTTTTTT